CCTAAAAGCAAATGTAAACAAAAAAAAAAAAAGTTTTGAAATTTAACCTGCTTACAACAAAAGCCAAATTCCAAAAGTATCCAGATCCAATACAACTGTACGTTAAAAACAAACTGATTTTAATATTTTGCTTAAGGGATATAAGACCTGTGAATTGGAGGAAAGTCTTTGAAGCTGAGAAAGGCCCGCTAAATGTATATGCTTTTAAAGGGCTACAGAATGAAGCGTACCGATAGAAGAGAATATCTGTAGCTCAGGTTGAACTGTGGGTCTTTGATACTCTTATGATCAGGGGTGTCAAACTCTCATCATCACAGTGGTGTCACATGACGTACTGGGACTTTCCCCCCCTTCGCTAAACTGGGTGTGGGCGTGGCCAGCGCATGACACATTCGGCCCACAGGCCGGGAGTTTGACAGCCCTGCTCTATGAGCTTGGCTGTTTTCTTGCAGATGATACCCCAGTGCATTGATGATGTTATTTAGTTTGGCAACAAAATGTCTGTAGGAAAACAAACAAACTCAGAGAGCACCAGAGATCCAACAGAATAAAATGTGCCTGAAATTAATAGATCAGTGAATGGTGTTTATATCTGACCACCCCATCAATATGCTGGAGGGTACCATAGAAGAAATAGCAACTTTATTCGGAATTAAGCGAAGAATGATCCAGTATTCAGACAGTTTTATATAATTGTCACACTATTACAAAGAGATGATGAAATCAGTATCCGAAAAAGTCAATCAAATAAACAGCAAAAAGATGAATGTTTTTTTTTCTTTCCTAAAGGGGATTCCCAAAACAGTTCCCAATCAGAAACAAGCTAGGCAATGAAAGGAATAGATATTCATCCCTGGTCCTACCCAAAAGTATTAACTTCTAAGATAAACAATATCACTTTGAAAGAAAAAGAAAAAAGTACCTTTTAGTAGAGCTGTAAGGATTGCAACATCAATATCTCGATGTTCATCAGAACCAATGTGGAACACTGTAATCTGTTTTGAAAATTAGACAGAGGAAGAAAGCAAGTTTTTTAGATGCGCGCACCGCCTCTCATGTACCGTGTTAGCGTGAAAATAAGACAGGGTCTTATTTTCTTTTGACATCTGAAATAAGCGCTTGGCCTTATTTTTGGGAAGGTCTTATTATTTTTGAGGTGCAGTAGGAGGCGTGCGTGGTCACCTCATGGCTGTTTCTGGGTTGCTATATTTTTGGGGAGGGTTTATTTTTAGGGGAGGGCTTATTTTAGCGCTTGTGCTCAGAAGCCCGATTGGGCTTATTATCCGGGGAGGTCTTCTTTTCAGGGAAATAGGGTACCCAGATTATATCAAGTTAAATTGAAATGGGAATTCTAACTTCAGTAATATTCACAAAGGAGACAAAGGATCTGGATTTATTAAGACTATATTTTTCATTCTTCCCAGAGTGAAATGTTTATTAAGCAAATCCTTGTAGTGGTGCAGAGATTTACTTACCAGTTCCCTTTTTTTCATGCATTCCAGCAGTGTCTGGAATAAATGAACCGCTTCGCTCTGACCAAAATTAAATGTCTTTTTGATTGTTGAAATGATTTCTGGTTCAGCTCCATCAGGGATGCTTCTGAGGTTAAAGAAAAAAAAANGTTCTGGGAGGTCTGCAGAGTGCAAAAACTTTTTTTTTTTACTTTGCCTCTTCAAAATCTTGGTGCATCTCATGTCTTATACTCCGAAAAATATGGTATATTCCAAATCTAAAATTTACCACTATGAAATCTTATGGATTTCTTTAGTACTGAAGTACAACACTCTTCCGGATCAAAGAAACAGAACTTCCACAGATTTACAATCTTGGATTAAAGATATTTTGTTCACATTCTGTTTATGAGCCTTTTCCCAAAATAGAACAATGGAAAAATGGGTGAATAATAATTTCTGTTACCAAGGTTTAATGATTTGTTTTTGTGTGCTTTCCTTTGCTCTCTGTTTTATATATTGAAACAAAAAATAGAACAATTGACAAGAAGCAGAATGTATTATGTACAGTATGTAGCACTAATATTCATGCCAAGGGAACAGCCCGCTTGTTGCTTACCTTTGGTTTATAAGGCTGTGCAGTTTTGATGAAGTGATTGTGCCGCATTTTTTCTTTCTTATCCACCCTGTTCCCAAAAGGTTCATGGCTTTTACGCAACTGAGGAGTGCTGCCTGAAGCATTTCGCCCGGACCGCTACATATACATACATACACACATATATATATATTTTAAAAGGTTAAGAACAAATGAAAAAGATGCTTATTCCAATATGTTGCCAAACTTGTACGAAACAATAGAAACATCTAAAATTATAAAACCCGGATGGATTTTATATAAGCGATACGGCCTAATATAAAACCACAGAGGTGAGAGAATGGGGACATCACAGATTAATTGCAAGTCGGTTATGAACGCACTGGGGAAGGGAAACCTCTCGTCCAGCTTCTGTCTGAAAAACTGGGATACCTTAGAAGGCTACTTGAATAGCCAAAACTCACCTATCTTAAAAGTCTATTGGAATATTCAGTAGAAATAATATTTCTGTTCCCTTAGAAAATGCACGTGAAATGCTCTGGACCTATCTGAGTATCTAGAAGGGGTTCCACCACAAAACCACGTTCGACTAAACCGCGCTTGATGAAACCGCGTAGCTGACGTCATCAACAGGGCGACAACAGCGCGGAGACAGAAGCATGCTGTAAACACTAAACCTAAAATTAACTCCTAAACCTAAACCTAACCCCCCTAAACCTAACCCTAACCCTAAACCTAATCCTAAACCTAACCCTAAACCTAACCCTAAACCTAACCCTTAACCTAACCCTAAAGCTAACCCTTAACCTAACCCTAAAGCTAA